CATGACCCTACATGACCCCGCCCCCTCCTCACCTTACAGCCGACGGCCAGCAGAGTGTGCAGCACCATCATGGTCGCCACCGTGGCCACCGCCGTCGCTCTGCTGTCGTCCCTGACGACGGGCCAGAAGGTGAGGGCCAGAACCGAGCCAGAGATCACCATGGCAACCACGGTCAGCGTCCACTGCAGCCACTCGTATGGTAGGATCCACAAGATCTGGGGAGCAGTGAACATCTGGAGGCTTAAAACCAGAACCTTTCATCGTGTTCCGAGCATAAAGTGGAAAACCGATCCTATATGCGTAACCATGGCAACCGAGGAGGCCTCCAGTTTCCCAACAGGAGGAAGAAGATCAGCTGAACTTCATGGAAGCATCAATAGACATTAGCTAAGCTAACAGGCTAACAGCTCATCATCCTAAACTTTTAATTTGGAATAAAAAAAAATTTTCCTTTGATTCGTCAAAGAAATTCAACAATTTATGTTAAAAATAAAAGAATTTAAAACTGAAATAAAGATCTTATTTTTAGTCAATAATCTCTAGTTATTCGAGGCCAGAAATCTTTCCATTAGCATTCATTGGGAGATAAGGCATGGTGGAGGCAGCATCATGCTGAGGGATGCAGATTATGGAAAGACTTCAACATGAAGCGGATATGGAGAAAAACCAGCCGATTCAAAGGACGCCTTCCTTCAGCAGAGACGACTTTAACGAGCTGCTACAGAAAATAGCTGCATGCATGGAGCTGAAAATCCACCATCTTGAAGTGAACTATGATGTAAACGCCGCGTATGGAAATGAAACCACGCTGCCTGTGATTCTGAACGGGGACCACCAGCCCAGCAACTCAGCGAACAAACAATTCCCAGAGGAAAATCCCTGGAGCACTCTGGGTGCTAGACCAGAGGATCAACGACGACCCAGTCCAGACTGCACCCACCTCCCCCTCTCCCCCACAAAGCCCAGATGTTCCTTTTCTGGAATTTTCTCTTAACATGAACAAAGTTTTTCAGATTGGCCTACAGTTGACATCTTCTCCACATAGCCATTCTGAAAGCTGCAGCGATGTGAAAAACCAGCATTTTCTAAAAGCAGCAGAGACCCAGATCCTCCTCTACAGATCACGGAACGTCAGGACCTTCAGATAACTGAGCCCAGATCCCCGGATCTCGCTTCTGAGCTGATCTGAGTAAAATGTGCAGTACTGGAATTCACCAGATGGTGGCAGCATGCACATTAAAGCAGCCTGTAGCATTACCGTGCAGAAGAAGAAGTTGTCACCACCAGCTGTTGCTAAACAGACTGATGTTCCAGGGATGTGAAGCTCTGACTGACTTCCAGACCTTCTTGGTTCCGGTGTTCCATGGAATTCTGTTCCCTCTGAGTTTGGAGGCGCATTGAAGCCAGAGAGGCGGCCATGATGGATGGAACCATTTTCACTGCACTGCTGATCGATTTCTGGCTAAAATCAGCTCCTATAATCATCTCACTGTTTAACATCCAGTTTAATGGGAAGAAATTAATTCACCATCAAGTCTTTAACTGTTTTTATTTCTCTCTTCATCAACAACAAACTCTGGATTTGGTGACATTTGATCATTATTTGCCAGAGTTATGAGAGGGAAATCAGCTGACATAATCCATCTCCCCCTTTGATGATCTTTATGAAATGTATTTTCTATTTAAATGTTTATTTAACATTTTACAAATATTCCCAAAAAATGTATTCCAATTTTGATTAATTTCCACCCAGAAAGATTTCCTGATCCAAAATACCTGCAGCAGCAATGCTACTGCAGACATTTGGAACTGAGGATTAAAATACATTTCATAAAGATCATCAATTCAAAAGTCAGATTTATTTTAACTATTTTGGATTTCAAAATATATAATAATAAATGTTTCATAAATAATGGATGAAAAATAATCACAGTTTCAAAATTCACAGGATTTGTATATTTTTTCCAATGTTATAGTGGAACGGATTATATCAGGAGGCTGAAATATAGGATTCCCTCCATAACTCTGGAAAATAATGATCTAATGTCAACAAATCCACAGTTGGTTGATGATGAAGAGAGAAATAAACCCAGTTATGCTGCGTTCAGAACAAACGCTGCTTCATTTCTGATGCTTAAACCAGTTTATTTCTGTCGAAAAGTGGGTCTGATGCGCGGTGGGCGGAGCTACTCTATCCTTTCTCTG